GCAGCTGCATTTTATGTTCTGATGAACTGTGATGAAGTCCAACTATTTATACAGTAAGATTCACAGTTCCCAAATTCAATACATAGTGTTATTTATTATTAAGAATATTAATAATTATATACTAAGTAATTCAAAAATACAAGTAACAATATTGTGAGCATATTATTTATCGACTGCTTGAATATGAAAGATGAATCTCTGATAAGCAGGAAGGTTGAAGTAAAATTTCCAATATAGTTTAAATTATACATACGTATAATGAACACTTCTGATCACATGTGTGTAATATGATCATTGCATTTAAAGTTACAATAATGGTTCCTCTCCTTTTGCTATAGGTTCACAATATAGCCAACAGAATCACAGATAAAAGATTATTAGATCTTGCCTATGAGGTTAATCGTAGTGTTACTACATCTAGTGTTACTACATCCTATAGATATTTGATGTAAACAATTATACATTTCATATTAGTTCCTGATGTGAAGGGAAGAAAACATATAAATATGGTGTCGTTGTTAAAGAAAACACACACAAATAGTAAGATTTGCTATTACAGTGTACTTGATGAAATCATTCAAGTGCAATATCTGGTCAACGTCAGCTACATTGTGTATTTGATCAACTGTTAGTGGTTCGAACTTGTTCTGAATCAAGAAACCCAAACACTCACGCCTTATAATATCACTAAGGTCAAATTGAACAGATGATTTGTAAAGTTTGATCATTTTATTCTGGCACGCAAAGCACACAGATTTATTACCTTCAATACCTTGGTAGAGGAAGAGATAAAGTTGATTGGGCTCTGGTTATGAAAAATAAACCAAAGAAAACTATTGAGCTGCATAGTTCTAAAGAGCTAATTCACCAAGAGGAAAGTATGTCAGATTTTCGTATTCAGGATAACACAAATGATGAAATGTTTGTGCTAGACAATACCATGGGAATTTTTGAAGAGGTTGCCCATGGTTTGGATAAAGATAATGAAGAGAGTGAAGAAAAAATTTTAGGTCCACCTTTGACGGCTAGTTCTTTTGATGAAACTTAATAACGATGTAAACAAACTTTAAATTAGTTGTTACTACTACTATTTTTTGTCTTTTATTTTTGTTGTTAATAGACATAACTCTTACTCTAGCTTTTCTTGTTTTAGACATAGTTGTTACTTGTCTTTTACTTCTTTTTTTTTTCTTGGCTTTGGCACTCGCCATATAACAAACATTGCACGTTAATTGCAAAGTGCGAATTACACACACAAATAACATTGTTCCACCTGGGTGGGTCCTACCGGTTTGAAAAGCGGGGGATTTACAATGACAAGTAGTATTTAGGTGTGGAAACGAGTCTGACACAAGCTGGCTACCTCGTCTTAGATTTTAGCTTAATTAATTTTATTGAGTTTGGGCTCAAATATAAGTGTATAAAAAAATAATAATATTATTTTAAAATAATGATATAATAAAAAAATGATACATAAAATGAGCAATTAAAAGAAAAAAATAAGAAAGCACTTAATATGAAATACAAAATATTATTTTTATTTTTTTTAATAATTTAAAGATAGTCTCCAAATTTAATATATTTTGAGTATATTTTATATTATTAGTTTTTTAAAGGAGTCGTCGGGGCTAGCTTGAGCTTAGCTTGTTAGATCATCTAGCTAAGTTCATGAGCTACTTATTGAACTGAGCACGAGCTGGATCATCTACCTCATGGTTGTCCCTTTAGTGTAACTTTCCAAAAGATCACCCATCCTAAGTGTACTCCCGCACGAGCACACTTAACTTCAGAGTTTCTAATGAAATTCCAACTATTAAACCAAAAGTCATTTCGATGTTTAAGAGTACTTTATTCTACCTAAGGGGTTTTATTGTATACATGTAAATATAAATGTGTAGGTATAGATACGAAAATACATAATAATTTTGTGGTATGTATATAAATCCCCACTCCAAACTCCCTCAACAAACAAACCAAAAAAAAAAAAAAAAAAAAAAAAAATAAAAAAAAATCACCAACTCTAAAAGGCAATTATGTATGTGTGTGTGTGTGTGTGTATATATATATATATCACCAACACAAAGACAACAACTCAAAATACTCCCCTCCTCCACACTCTCTCAACTTTGAACCCAAACTCCTGCTTTAAAAGGGAGAGAAGCAGAGACAGAAAAGGCAGAGAAGGAAGAAGATAAATCATAGCACAAGTGATAAAAAAGACAGGAAGAAAGATATGAGAGACGACAAGTTCAGTAATGTTCTCCCCCTAATACTATTGCTTCAGGCCATGGCCTTCCTACTTTGCATTGGACTCTTCCTTTCCTTCTCCATGGATGGCAGCAGCTTGGTGGCAGTGCTGCCACCACCGAGTACTCCAGTGAGCCTTGAAAGCCTTCCATCGGTGTCAAGTAGCCAACAGAAAAATGCTCACAACATCTATGCCAGCAAGAGGAAAGTGCCCAAAGGACCTGATCCCATTCACAACAGGTAACTAATTTTTCTTCATTTTGATCGTCCCTTCCCAGTGATTTATTCAACTCTACTGTTAATTCTAGGATAAATATTAATATTATTATTATTTACAAATATGGAAGCAAATAGATAGAATTCACAAACAGAAATATGCATAATATTATATTCCAAACCGTTTGGGATAAAGAATTGTTCTGTCTACAGTGTTTGTTTTGTGGCAAAGCTTTCAATTTTCTACCATATCTCTGTTTCATGATAGGAAGATAGAAGATAAGAGCTCTATTACCAAGAAGCTTCCTTGGACTTGCCCTGTTAGCTTTATGGTTCAAAAATAAAGAAGAGGGCTTCTATCTTTAGTCACCACTTATTCCCTTATCAAATGTTGAAGCAACATTAAATGCTTCACCTTAATCACATATAGACATAGCTTAAGAACAAAGCAAACAACTATGTAAAATACAATGTAGATAAGTTTTATGTGGGACCCATACATACATACATACATATATATATACATACATATATATATATATATATAAGTTTTAAGTGGGACCCATTTGTCAGTTGTAAGTCCCCTCTGGTATGAGATTCGATTATTCCCGAGTGTAGGGTGTGGTACTCGAATTCTTAGGCGCATGAGAAATGATCGGGGCTCGTATAATAGCCTCCGGTCATTCCTTTCTAAAGAAAGTATATATATATATATATATATATATATGTATGTATGTATGTATGTATGCATGTATACATACATATCTAACATTCAAAATTTGATATTTACACTCATAACATGTTGGTGTCATAAACCTATGCATGAGAAGGTGTATTCAACTAAGTGATGTTTAAAATTTGAGTGGAATGCATGTAAAATGTAAAATGAATGTTTAGGTGTTAGATATCTAAATACATAAGAATTGTGTGGTATGTATGTAAATTCCCCAGATATATATATATATATATGGCCAATGAAGCTAATCTGGATTTTCAATTTTGTTTACTTTGCCGGCAACTAACTCTGATGGTATCATCTGCTGTCAGGAGAACGGGAAGGTCAGGGAGGCCTCCGGCCCACGCATAGCGGCGTCAGCACCGGCAACAACGGTGGTAGAAGATGACTCTCATGGTTGCCAGACTATCTTGGATGTGGAAGCATGAATTGGCAATTTGGAAACAATCTTTAAACACTCTGAAAGATGGCTAACTCAGCTACTTTCAGACAATTCTTCACAAAGAAGATGTCTAACTTCAGTTTGAACTTGAATGAAAGAAAGCAGAGATAAAGAGAGAAATTAAACTCTAGTTGTTGATTTAATGTTGTAATAACTGGAGCCTGAAGATGAAATGAAGAGAAACATGGAGATGAGTAAGCTTATTCTGTCAGTTTAAATACGTCTTTTTGTTGTTATGTCTTCTTTGGTACTTGTTGTGGATCTCCTTCAAAGTAAAGCAGCAACTCCAACCAGTTAAAGATGCTTGCTTTATATATGTTTTAATCATCTCACACTTTACCTTTTTGTTCATCTTTAATCTCTTTACTTCTCTTCCCACTTCTCACTCACTCTCTTTTTAAAGTACTTTTTGGATTATAAGAGGATATAGAAACCTTGCAACTCAGATTTTCTTTTTTTCTTTTACTTGTGATGAAGTGACATTATTTCTATAAACAATAACAGGAATGATACAAAAGAAGCAAAGTGAGAAAAAAAATTAAGAAAAGGTTCTTTTTTCTTCATCTTTATTCCTTCTTTGGTTACTCACTCTCAGAATAAGAGACTAGGACTAAAGCTAAATAAAGAGCAATGCTAAATAACCCTAGTTGGCGGACCAATCAAATTTGAGAATATCAACCATTTTTAAAACTTAAGAAAAAAAGGGCATAAAAAAGAGAATATCACTTCCTTTGCTTAAGAAGAATTTTTATCAATACTAGATCAAAGACTCATACAGCAAGAGTTTTTGCTTATTTGTGTGCACTTTTTTTCTGGATTATAGCTTATGAAATAAATTTATTAGGCTTCTTGCAACTAAAAAACTTCTCATCTCAAGAAGCAAGAACAGGGAATGAGTTCTGAAATATAAATAAAATGACTATGTTTTTATTCTCCAAGGATTGCTATTTAACTTCAAATATAAGGCAAAATTACTCCATTATATTAATAATCATAATATAATAATTATTATTATTATTATATAGAAATCAAACTCCAAACCTTCACTTTAGAGACAAAAATCATAGCCACTAGATGAAAGCCTTAAGGTCCTTAGAATAGGGAACATTATTTATCATCAGTCTTATCTCAATCATCTAAGAATAATCCTCATTCTCTATTCGTGTGAGCATAATAATTAAACATTATGCTATAGCCAAATACTATCTTCACTTAATCACCACATAATAAAAGTCAATGAACAGTTAAATCTCATATTATAATAAAAAAATCAAAACACATTTGAAGACTGAATAAAATATCAGGAAAATTCTGTTATCAACCATTCCAAAAGAATTTCATTCATATAATAAAGTACCCTTTCAATTAAGCGAAAGCTGAATTTTTTACATTCTGTCACTGCTGAATATTATTTCCCCTCTGATTTTCATAGGATCTTAGACGAATCCATCTTGTCGCGGCCCACTTCTCACCTTCAATGACAGGGCAGCTTCTATGCACACTTCTAGGATTTGTTGTAGCATTGACATGGCAGCTAAAAAAGAGTAAAGCATCTCCCTTTTTAGGTTTCACTATAAACACAAGAAAGAGGATGTGAAGAGTGAGATAATCAAACTTAAAATGGTTTCTTTATCTTCAAATATTCGATGCATATCGATAGAAGGTTTGCAAGATGAACATCCAAAATATTCACCTTTTTTATTGAACAAGAAACTAAATTGAAAACGTTGATATGTGTGATTAATTTGGCATTTGTAGGTGGGTTTTTGCATTCCAAGAATTGATCAACAATTTAGAAAGTTATAAGGCCAACTTACAAAATACATAAGGGCAACACATACGATCCAGATGGTGTAGATACTTCAAAAGAAACCATACAGTGATGATAGAACATATTTGATACATATAATTTATTTTTCCAACATACATAGACAAAAAAAAGGCATGTAATCCCTTTATAGATTCATTAAGGTATACAAAATGAAAAATAAATTTTCCAATAATATAAGAAATTGAATCGGCAAATTATTAAAAGCCTAATCATTGATGGTTACCATAGTACCTGCAAAACCATTTCTTGCACACTCAGAGTAAGTTTCATCCTTCGGTTGAGTATTTGCTGCCTGAAAATGTTTAGAATGTCTCTGATTAATGAGTCGGAATCAAAAACCATGAGACAAGGTGTAAAATTTCAGATTATTTACCTCAGCATAAGGGAAGACTGTCTCCCCTCCTTTCCTGACATTTGACAGATACATCAGTACTGTCGCCATCCTATTTCCACCATTTTCTTGATTGAATTTGTCCTGAAAGTAATCAGGATGTGTGTCATACTTCTGTCCAAGCCCATAATGAAGAACATGAATGCCCTCACCATTTTCTGCCCAGGAAAAGCTACTCTGAGAAACATGCAAAAAAAAACGAAAAAAAAGGGAAGTTTACATACATAACACACAATTCATATGTATTTACATATCTCACACCTACTTTCATATTTACATACATAGCACTTTGGTGCTTTCACATAAAAATGCCACTATTACCAATGAAAAGACATATTTCACTTTTAAAAAGTGATCAAAGTGATTTTTTTTGTAATATTAAATATTTGAGTGCTATGTGTGTACATATGAAAGCTTTGGTGCGAGATATGTAACACATAAATATTGTGTGTGTGTGTAGATGCCCACAAAATATGTATATATATATATATATATATATAATGACATATATATATATATCTTCTACAAGCGGCAGAATTACCTTCAGGAAGAAATGTCCATTCTGCAATCCTACGTTCAATTCTCCTAATGACTGCATCCTTTAGGAGCAAAAGAAAAAAAAAAATAAAAACTGAAGTTTAAGATTCCATGTTGATGCTTTCTATGATATATTATTACCATCTATGGAGTTAATTGGACGGACTTAGGATTAGGATGGTCTTCAAGCACTAAATAGTAGCACTTCAAGATCCAATAGTTATGCATAAGTATCTTCATAACTGACCAGAAGGATTTAAACTTTGTTTTGATTTTATTTTAAAATTAGCCTTCTTATTAAATAAGATCTGCTGTTTAAGACAATTGACAAATTACATTACAAGAAAGCACGAGAATGCCACCAAATAAGCATAGATATATCTCTGCAAACTTCAATATCATGCAGGAGAACCAAGATACTATCAAATCAAGGCAAACTCAAGCATCAAGGTCTCAAAATAAAAATATAAAAAATATATTAAAAAAACAACATATCATTTTAAAAAAGTGAAGCATAAGCATGTTAGGCTTATCTCAATCACTTGTGCTCGATTTAATTAATCTCCAAGTAAAGTCTCAAAATAGTCCCTAGACTAATTACATTTGGTCATTTTAGTTCCAGTCTATGAAAGTATCAATTTAGTGTCGACTCTTTTAGTAAAGGCTAAAATAGTAATTCGTTCGTACTTTTTTAGCTCTTATTAAAAGGGTCTGGAAACTGAAATGACACTCCTACAGAATATGGGAAAACAATGGCCCCCTTCAAAGAGTCAAGAGACCATTTTGATACTTTTCTCATTAGTCTCCATTCTCCATTTACTCTTGCTTAATATTACATATGCGTACTTATTTTGTCAAAACCCTCTTTAACAACTTCTATCCAAACTACCTTTGGTCTAAAACTTTTTCCTTCTTAAACCATTGGAGTTAACCTTTTCTACCCTTGTTATAGAGGCATATTCTACCCTTCACTATCTTTCAATAGTTGCTAAATCCATCATCCTTTTTGTTAAATTAAGTGAGCAGATAACCTTTAATTGGAAATTAAAAATCAAATCCACCACAAAAAAATATGTTCTACCAAATCTTAATCTCCAATTTAAAAATTATAAATTGCCAATAAACTGTATTTTGTCTGCATTCTCAAGAAGTTGTGGTGAAAAAGCTGTGTTTTGCAACCTAACGTGACTAAATGTAGTGAGTGTCAATAAGCTTTTGTCTGACTTTTTGAAATTCAAAAAAAAATTGTAATAGCCACTATAACTTCTTGTGCAATAATTGAATGTTTGTTTTTTCAAACAACTGCAGTTGCCCCAAATAGACCCTTAGCCGATTAAAGCCGAAATATATATTGTCAATATTAGCAAAGGCTCCAAAAGACAGAATCCCTTAACATTCTAGCTTTTATTTCAATGTAAAATATTATTTGAAATGTTAAAAATCATGCTTATATATAACAAATGTAGTAATTACGAGAATATCAAATCATCACAAACATGTAAAATCGTAATCTCATCTCATGCAGTATTTTCTACGCAAAGAGAAAACAAGTACTAAATTAAAATTTTATGAGGAACTTTTATAAATCATGTTTATAGGTTAGTTTTCCACTCTTTTTATTTTTTTATTTTTTTTTTGTTGTGGAAAAAGTATAATGAAACACTATTCAACTTGCCTTATTCTACTAACAATGAAAATCGATTCAAGAATGCATGTCGAGATTTTTTGAGCCCTTGACATGCACGCCAAGTTTTCTTGAAACCCTATAAAATTGGTAAAATTTTTCATAAAATTATTTGAATTTATAATGAAACACTAACATACGAATTGGTTATTACTCTAATGAGATCCACAAGAGTGAAATAATAAGACTTCTATCAATTAACTTAAACTTTATGATTCATAGGAATTAATCTACTAGTTTATTGAGCTCATTTTAGGCCTAGTATCCTCAGTTACAGAATTTAAAAATCATGATTATTTTTTTATAAGAAGTTTACAACTTTATTATAAATTTTCCAAACTTCTATATGCAGAATAACCAGGTTCAGAGACAATGGGGAAGGAACTTTACCTGACGCTTGCCAAAAAAATACCCTGAGCTCGTTCGTGCCTCATTCAACATAGCCTTTCCGGATTGTCTATTGGCCACCATGGACCTCTCAAGTTTACCCTTCGCCTACACCAAACAAAGCATTTAGACTGACTTAAAAAAAAAATCAATTTTCTCCCTTTTTTTCCTTCATCATTCAAACAAATCCTATTAGATCTTACCCGAGAAATCAAATGGTCGCATTCATTTTCAGTAAGAAATCCCTTGTAAAGAAACGCCCTACAATCAAAAGCTGCATTAACGAATACTAACAGAAAGATTGAAGAAGGAAAAAAGATAACATTTCCGTAAACTTAAAAAAGGAAATTAAAACTACTTTAGGGTTTCCCACCTCGGACTCCAAGAGAGTTGGGTAACACGAGAGGGATCGTAGATGAAGGGCTTCTCCTCAGCCCTTCTTCGAGAGACTCCGAAGCGCAGAGAGTGAGATGACATGAAAAAGAGGAAAAGGAGGAGGAAAAGAAAATCGACGCGAGGAAAGAAGGAAGCCATTTTCCGATATCTTGGATTGCCGAAACGGGCATCCAGGGGAATAAAAGGAGGACGAAGGCTGAAAGAGCGGCACCCGAGTAGAAATTCATGGAGAAACTACGGCGCCCGCAGGAACCCGAGAGCTGTTCCGCTGGAATTTGACTTGAGGAAGGAAGAGCTAATTTCCTGCGGAATTCGAAAATGTGCACCGCACAACTAATCAGGTTAGTTTATAGCAAGACAATTCCGGTTCGTTGGACCGTTAGAATTTGAATTTTGTAAATCCGTACTAACTATGCCTGCAAATATTCCTAATAAAAACGGCGGCTACCTCCCCCCTCCTCTTCACCAAGAGAAAAATTTGGATGCGCCTATTGGAGGTTATATCCGCCGCCTTATATCTCTAATATTTGGGGTTATATTCGTGTTATATCCGTGTAAACTCCCTATAATCCATATGTAACCTACAAATATATGAAAACAGAAGCGCGGAACTTTTCTGTAGGTTACAGATAGATTATAGAAAAGTTACAATGAAATATAACGCAGATATAACCTTCCATTACCCTCCGAATAATCTCTCTAACATACGCAGCGCTGCGTACATTTTACGAAAGTCATTTTTTCTCCTTCAACGAAACCCTCGCGATACTAATTCCGGACACCATAGAATTTTTCTTGGACCTAGTCAAATAAAAGCATCTTGGTTAATACATTTAGGTAATATAATTCTTAATTATACAGGTAATTGTATCTTATTTCAATGAAATTATTGGTCATTTGTGCATGACACTATTACTCTCAATACTTGAATTTATTCAATTTCAGAAGATTCACCTTCATGATGAATCAAAATTATCATAATTAAAATTTCAGTCTGAATCTCATAGGAAGTTCATCAAACTAGGGGATCTAAAACTGTTTATTATTTTGCTTTAAATCCAAACAAAAGTGTTGCACCAGTAGGGGTGTAAACGAGCTGAACACGAGCGAGCCTAGGCTCAGCTCGAGTTTGGCTCCTTTATATTTCGAGCTCAAAAAGTGTGTTCGTGTTCGGCTCATTTGCTTAGCGAGCCGAACACGACCCGTTCACGAACAAATGTCGTTTTGACAACCCAAATCACGTAGCCATAAGGTGTTCTAATTGCAGTTTTGATGCTTTTTAAAAGGGCATTTATGTACATAGCACCCAATTCATTTGTATTTACCTAACACCTATTTTTTTTTATATTTTGTTACATTTAAAACATCCCAATTTTTTATATGACATCAAAATTACATCATTCTAACTCTTAAAAATATATGATGGTGCATAGGGCTGTCAAAACGGCTCGTTGTTTGCGAACAACTCGTGTTCGACTCGTTAAGAAGCTCGTGTTCGGCTCGTTCGCTAAGTTAACGAGCGAACGCGAATAATTATTTATGCTGATGATTTATTAGTATTTGGCAAAGCTAATGTTAATTTTATTAATAATCTTAATGATATTCATGATTATTTTTATAACTCTACTAACTTATGCGCTAATAAAGATAAATTTGTCATTTGTTTCTCTAAATTTGTTGATTCTAACTTACAAAATTGCTTATGTCAAGTTAATGGTTTCTCTTTTAAAATTCTACTTTGGTATTATTTACATAGTTTCTATCAATTCTTCTAAGCTTCTTGTTGTTGATTGTTCTAAGTTATGGGATAAGCTTCAAAATTAATTTCCGGTTGGAAGCTTAAATTTTTATCTTTTATTGGTAGATTTCAACTTTTGAAGGATGCAATTTGCAGTTGTTTGCATTATGATTTCTTTCTTTTAATATTCCTAAAGGTTTAAGAAAGAAATTAAGAAAATTTCTTCCTTATGTCAAAATTTTATCGATAATAATGGTGTTAACTACAAGTTTAAACTATTTCTTAACTTAATACTATTAAGCCTAAGATTTATGATGGCTTGATTTGCTTAATTTAGACATGCTTAACTTGTTGTGCAAATCCAAAATCATTTGAAGACATTTTAGTTATTATTTTTTTCGCAATTTAGTATTTTAATCATTAGGATTCTCTATGGATTAAGCATAGGAATAGCTCCTCTTCTTTTTGGAAAATTTAATTCAAGTGACCTTGAAAATTATGATTTGTTTTCAATTCCAAATTAATTTTAATAGTTTTTTTAATTTTTTTTTTCTATTTTTATCATTGATTGAATGGTACTTCCCTTCTAGAAAAAAATGGTAATGTTATTTTTGTTTGGTTTAATCTTTCACAATTTACTAAAGATGGTGAAGTTATTTACAATAATAAATGAGGGTTTTATAACACTCATAATTTTCTTAATTCTTTTTTAAACTCTGTTCTTGAAATCCTAATTAATAAAGTTTTACTTCTCGTCTTTGGAAGGGTTAAGATAAATATAATCATAAACTTATTTATAAGTTTATTTTTTTTATAGCTCTTATGTTGTTGGTTTGAAAAATTATGTCTGGTTCAAAGGTTACTCTATTAGATTTGCTACTATCATTTGGAAATTTTGAATAATGACCTCAAAACTAGGAATGTCTTGATCACTAGAGGTATTATGATCAATAGTTTTTTTGTGTTTTACGCTTAAATCATAATGAAACTCACAACCTTACTTTCTTCATATATAATTTAACCTCTTCTTTATTAAAAAGATGTATTACTTATGGGAATTTTATATTTTAAGTGACAATATATTCCATATTATTTTTTAGGTGGATCTTTTTTCTCTAATATTATTAAGAGATTTTATTTGCTTGCGCTTCATGTTATTGCCTATTATATTTGGAAAGAGAAAAATGATAAAATTTTAATAATTCTATTTCTTTTTTAAATAAATTGATTTTTAATATTCATGAGGGCATTAAGTGGAAAAGTAGATGGAGGTTTAAGGATAATATTCCTTTTTACATCTAAGATCTTTATTATTTGACTTAATTATATGGGTATCTTCTCTTATTCATTTTTATGTTGGTTTCTTTGTTTTAATTTTCTTCTTCAATTGGATATTTTGCTTTTAAATGTATTTTTCCTTTTTCTCTTCTGTTTGACTCATTAGTTATATTGGTTAACTTAGGTTCTACTCTGAGTTTTTGCTTTTACTTTGTTATTATCATATCTATCTTTGAGAGATTATATTGAGGTTGCTCTCATTAAATTTATTTTACTTCATTAAATTAGATGAATCTTTATGAACCATTTAATGAATGTTAAACCATTTATGATTTTTTTTTTTTTTTTTTTTTTTTTTTTTTTGGGATTTTTTCTTAGCTGTCTTTGTTTAGAGTGCTTTTAGTTTTGTTGTTTTCTCTGTGTTATATTTGTAAGTTATTGTAGATGTTTTGGAATTAATCTTCTTGTTAGATTTTTGATTTGTTGTTTTTTGCAGGCTTCATGATTATTGTTTTCTTTGAGATATTGTTATTCTTCTGATTGTTTTTAACTTTTTTATGGCTACTTTTTTGGTGATATTATCATTTTCTCAACATTTTTGACATTCATGCTTAGTGATGTTGTTGTTTGGTATTATTTTGTTTTGGTGTGGCTTTTTTTTAGTTATTTTATATGAGTCTAGTTGTACACGTTTATTGGTATTTTTTGTAGTTGTTATGTTTGGGTTCCTTTGGTCTCAAGTTGTAGTGGTTTTGTTTCTTTTTTTGGGTTGTCTTTTTCTCTTTTTTCTGTTTCCAATATTTTATTGATAATTGTGTACTGCTCCTGGTTTTTTGTTTTTTTTTTTTTGGTTATTTTTTGTTGAGCTATAAGGTACCATGTCCTTTCTCATAATGTTAATCGTTCTTTGAATTTTACCCTGGTTCGCTCAGCTATTTTGTTATAATATATTAAATTTGGATAGAATTATTTTTCAATCATTTAATTTAGTTTACACGTTCTATTTGACTTTTTTTGTGGCTACTTTCTCTCTTTTATCTTGTGTGTTTGGAGGGTCACTTTTTCTAATATTGTTAGGGTTGTAATATATGTTGTTCTTTTGGATGTCCTATGTTAAGGTAGCCTGAAGTCCGATGATTGTTTCATTTTACCATGATTTTTTCATTGAATTTGGATGGATGTTCTGGGTTTTGGATTTGAGTTTGGCTGAGCTCTCTTTAAGTTAGTTGAAAGCTTCACACAAACCATCAACAACAACACCTGAGAGCTCCTTTTTTTTTGGTTTTTTTTTATTTTTTTGGGCTTTGGTTTTGTTTGTTTTAGTTTTTTAGGATATCCAGATGCTGGTGTAAGTTGTTGCAGTTTTTTTTTTTTTTTTATGATCATCTTCAAAGATGTTGATTGATTTTCTGATTGTTTTTTTACATCAAGATTTTGTTGCTCTTTTGTTTGGCTATAGTCATTGTTTGTGATTGTCGTTCTTGTGTTGTTATTGTTTTAGAAGTCTTTTTGTTGTTATTATTTAGTAGTGTTGATGGTTTGTGTGTAGCTATATGTATGGTTCAGGTGTTCCTATTTTATTTTTTGTTGTCTTGAAATGTATTTTCTGTTTTAGATTATCTACTTTTGTATTGTCTTGTAACTTCTCTTCTTTAATAATAAAACTAGGAGTGGTCTTCATTTTTTCTACGAAAGAGAAAAACTATGTCTACAAACGACATGATTCGGTTGGGTTCAAATTCAATCAATTTGAGGTGAAATAGAGGCATTTACATACATAATGCTCAATTCCTATGTATTTACATAAATAATGCATAAACTTTATATATATATATATATGTATCACCTATTTCTTTCATATTACATCCAAAAATACTACTATTTTAACTTTAAAAAAAATAAAATGTCTTTTCATATGTATATAGATAAGACGATAAATATGCAAAAGTTAAAATTTAGGTGTCAAAAATATTAAAACATAAGAATTGAGGCTTATGTATTTACATCTTCCAATCAAATATAAGAGGGATGTTAGTCTTGTAAATATTAAAGGGGGTGATAGTCTTGTAAATAACAGAATTTGTATTAAACAGGTAAATGTCCCTTTAATTGCTTAAAGGAGAAATTTTTCCATACGGAGTGCGGACATAGCTTTGCATGCGAACTCTGAGTAATATGCCGCCACATGTGCTACACCTCGCCCATCTCAGAAACTTTGTCCGATGAACTGCTCCAATAACATCTGCGGTTCCACTTCAATAACCCATGTAGAACAATTCCAATAAATTCCCAATAATGCCGCAATAATCATTCAATAACACGACGCATAACGTCGCAGTCCCGCTTCAATAACCCCCGCAGAACAATTCTAATAACTGCTTCAATAACACTGTAATAACACTCCAATAACACCGCGTGGTAAACCGCTTCAATAACCTCTGTGGTTCAATTTCAATAACCCCAGCAGAACAACTACAATAAGTCCCCAATAACGCCGCAATAACCCTTCAATAATACCGTCCGAAGAACCGATCCAACAACGTCACAATCCCGGTTCAATAACCCTAAAGAACAATTCCAATAAATGCTTCAATAACGCCGCAATAAGCCATCAATAACACTGTGTCATGAACCACTCCAATTACTTCAGTAGTTTTACTTCAATAATCCTCGAAGAATAACTTCAATAATAACATCGCAATAACTTTTCAATAACACTTCATATTTAATAGAATGATAAAAAAGAATATAATGTTACCCTTTTATTCCTCTAATAAAATCAGACACCAGTCACATTATACATTGAAAGCCATTTGACATCACTTTTTTTTCTTCTATTTTTTAAAATGTGTTTAATTGATATAAATTATATGCTTTATGTTTTATTTTTTAAAAAATAAATCAACTTATTTTTAAAAATACTTAAAATAACCAAAATATAGTTTTTGTGTTTTTAAAAATAATTACCACAATCATATATATTTTGATTTGAATCAAAATATAAATATATAAAATAAATAAAATAATAATAAATAAAAAATAAAAAACAAAAATAATCCCAAAAAAACCAAGCATTTAATTTGCATACCAAGTTTTAGTCTAATACAATATATGATCTTTAGATTTTACAATAAGTCAACCTAAAGTAACATAAAACAGCAGAAACATACTGGCTTGGAGAAAAAGATCTCTACATATCATCGTTCCAGCATAAATAGCCAAATGGTTGGGATGGATTCAAATCTATTCAGGGCTGTTAATTTAGCTTGAAAAACGTTACTCGCTCGTAAATTGATTCAAATTTTGGCTCTGATTGAGATGAGATTGAAATAAACGAGCTAAACTATGAGCCAAAACTTTAGATCAAATTTTTTCAAGCCAAATCGTTAACATCCCTAGTAATGTTAGGGTTGTAAATTTAATGAATTTAGTATAACAATCGCTAATCGCTCGAAAATTGATCCAAATTTTAGCTCGGATCAAAATAAATGACTCGAGCTACAAGCCAAAATTTTGGATCAAATTTTTTCCATGTCGATTTTGAACTTGACTCCAACTCAGCTCGAAATCGGATCGTAAGTCTTAAATCTATTCTTAAGTTACATCAGAACCTAACAATAAAACAACTAGAACCAAATTAACGAAACAACGAGAACTTCCATGAATCATACTAAATTGAATAAAAAATAACAAATTGTTGTGACATAAATTAACAAGAATACTTAAGCACATGACTTCCAGTGTGTGTTAGCTTCATGCGTAGTGTACATTTTGGAGGTTATATAAGGGGTATAAAGAAGTTATATCCGCGTTATACCCCTTGTAACCTCTATGTAACCTTCTGTAACCTACAAATAGGTTCTTAATATATGAAAACAGAAGCGCGGAAATTATTTGTAGGTTACAGAAGGTTACATGGATGTTACAAAGGGGTATAACGCGGATATAACCCCCTTATACCCTCTGTATAACCTCCAAAACATACGCAATTTTTTTCCGACACAAAATTTCACTTTGCAGGTTTCACGCAGCAGTCAACATTTTCATAAAATGGAAGCTTTATTTTATCCATTTTGTAAGAGCCTCTTAAACTTCAATGTAAGCTGTATGAGTCTTTCTTTTTGTTTGGGAGGTTAAACAACAGGAAAGCATTCCCATTCCTAGGCTTCACTGCAACCACATGTTAAGTGTATTAGACATGTCACAGATACAGATATTCTAAAGATGATGTCAACGTATGAGAATTCTTATGTTCTTTCAGGTTTACCTATTAAAAAACTAACTAGGAATTATATACATACCACCCAATTCCTATGTATTTGCATATCTAACATTTAAATTTTACCTTCTTACATTTGTACCTCCCAAATATTTCGTATCATATCAAAAATACCATTGATTTAACTTTAAGAAGTGAAATATAACTTTAATGCTAGGTAAAGCGGTATATATGTAAGAATTTGAAGTTTAAGTGTTAGATATCTAAATACATAGGAAATGAGTAGCATGCGTGTAAATATTCCAAACTAATTTTTATTTATGTGGAAGGTATATTCAGAAAATTTATTTTTTGTGATCAGATAGTCAACTAATGTTAAGGAAACGGCTATGAAATAATTTTCCATTTCAAACCATACAAAACAATCATTTTGCATGTAAACATTTTAGTCTACATCAAACATTATATTCTGCGTGATATTCTCAATAGAATCACAACCACTAATGGACTCTTAGCAGATTGACATCAGCTTCTAACAGAGAGCAATAAGCCAGGGTGGGTAATCCCCCTTAGATGAAGGATAATCAACCCTCTCATTCTTTAGCTCTTTTTATGCTTTTTCTTCATCATTTCAGCTTAAAAATAATGAAAAAAAATGCATAATCTCACTGTCAAATTGTTTGTTTTTTATTTGGGGTATTTATATACATACCACATAATTCTTATGTATTTACATATCTAACACCTAAACATGCATATGTAATGCACACCACTCAAATCTTTAACATCACAAAAAATTCCACCATCACTACCATTTTAAAAGTGAAATACGCCTTTTCATGCAAAGGTTTATAAAATCAAGGTGTTATAATTGTAAATATCAAACTTTGGGTGTTAAATTTGTAAATACAAAAGAACTGTGCTATGTATGTAAATTTTTCTTTTTATTTTTACCTAATGGTAACTTGCTTTACATTTTACTGACCTGCTCAGACTATTAAAGATGGAAGGTAGATCTCATGGCTTTGAATTCTCCATGCCTACGCTTTCACGCTGAGCTATATCAGAATTTTGTAGATCTCTGAAACATAAAATTTGAGCTTCAAAACTGCTGTTTGGTACATGTAAGACCCACTTTCTCTTAGCTGTGACACAGAAGGAAAGGGTGATGGTGGACTGAAATTCCTATAAAAAGACGATACTGATGATAATTTAAGAGAATTATAAATGTTGTGTGCAAGAAATCAAGGAAAGGAAGGATTGATCAGACGGCCTTCGCCTTTTCTATCTCATGCACACAATCAGTTAAGTAGAGGAGAGAAGCATGTGAAGCCATAGCCAAGAACATCCACAGACAGCACAAATAATAATATATAAAAGTGGCATCAGCATAGATTGAACTGTTTGTGGTAATCTTTAATGTTGTCAAATCTTCAGATTGTGGGCGAATGCACAAAGGTTGCTATATAAAGGACACCTAACACTACCAGCACGGAAAAGTGTGATAGTGCAAATCTTATGGGTAAGCATGGCAACACAAGTCCTACAAGAGAAGGCTACAGCATAAGCATTATAAGCCAGGGCCACAATGGAAGTCTTACGGGCGAGCAATGCAAACATGATAGAGTATGTTAAGGAGTTCAAACTTAAGAATTAGAAAATCTCCTCAAATGAATGTGGAGCTATTATAATTTTTATGAGGATATTTTGACCTTTACTAAAATATTTTAAACTTCATATATCAAAGTTAAATCATATTGATTACACATGTGTACATATAAAATGTTTAAATAGGCATTTGAGAATTGAAAATAGGGGCATTTACATGCATACCAGACAATTATTATGTATCTTCATATCTAACACCCAAACTTTAATATTAACATTCATAGCACTCAAATTTTTAATATCACATCAAAAATACCACTTTTCCTGACTTTTTTTATAAGTCAAATGTTTCTTTTTATGCATAAGCTTATATCACTAAAGTTTTATAAATGTACATATCAAACTCTAGGTATGTAAATTCATAAAAAATATGTGATATGTATGTAAATTTCCATTATTTATATTGGCTTGTAGAAGATTGAAACCAAAGTAAGTTGAAAATCTTAAGAGAGCTACGCAATACAGCATTATAAGATTATTAGTGAAAAGAATGAATGTTGAATATAGCAAAAAAAAAGAAAACAATCATTCAATCAAAAGCTTCAAAATATTGAGTTAAGACAATGAGGCATGTCCATTTATAAAAATAAGCTTTGGAGATGGCAATAATCAAAATTGATTAATGTTTCTCAACCCTTTGCTCTTATACAGGTTTAAGTTTTTAAGCATTAATTTCATCTATTAATTTCATACAGGTCTTGCAGTTGACTTGAATTGGGCCTACTTGTAATGGCTTTTATGCAGTTATATTTTTTTCTATTAATATTGTTATCGATGAGTTAGAGGCTTAAAGCAACTCACCAAATATTATGTTTTTGAAGGTTGGGTGCATACCAAAAAAGTCCCTCCAAACTTTAGTTGAGTGTTACTTCTACTAGAGTAGGCTCCAAAGCCTTCGCTTTAGCATTCTCACTAGAATCTGATAATAAAGTTTTGCCCTGCACTTGCTTAGTTTTACCAAGTCACGGGGGTCTTTATACGTCTGTTGGCACCTATAAGTTGAGTAAGGAATTACCTCTTGAAATTATGTGAATGAGGCATGCTTCCCAAAGGGAGGCGAGGAAACAATTTTTAATTGAGAATACTTGAGCATAGTAATCTACTACTATTAACAAATTATTCCATGAAATGAGAGACATATTTCCTAAGAACCAACAAACAACAATTGCAGCAACTATGTCCTGTGCTTCACATTTTTTGTTACATTTTTCTCGTTTATATTACTATAGTGTTTGAGTTTATGATAAAACGTATTATGACTTATTATTGTTACTGTTTCCTCAGTTTATTATGTGAGATATATATATTTTTTTTATTGAACAAGATTAGTAAAATTTTTAACATATATACATGTAGTTTTTGTCATGCTAATGGATGTCCCATTGAGATGTTTTATTATAGCTAGCATTTACAAAAGTTTATTTGTTATTGCTTAGACATCCACGCATGAAATCTAATGTAATATTATATTTTTTTGTCTAGTTATTTACAATGTCAAATTTTGAACATTCTCAATCTGCATCAACTAGTGAACAATTATCTGTTGCAATACAAGAAGGATTTGATAGTTTTCATAATGTGTCTAAATCTGTTGAAGTGACAGTAGGAATTATCAGTACTAAAATGCAAGCTAAGAAATACATGAAGAGAAAAACAATTGTTTGGGTGTTAAGTCAAATTCCAATGGAGTTGAAGTATCAATTGTTCAATGCTTTTGGGGCGAAAAACCTCAAATTAAAGTCAAACACAACCTCACAACTTTTTAGACACATTAAGAAATGTGCTAAGATAAAAGCAAAGAGTCAACAGCTTGTTGACTTATCAAATAAGAGACAGAAGATGTTGAACTTCTTGTCTTTTAAAGCTGACACTGAATCGGACATTGCTATTTTCTATAATCCTAAAAATTATGATCAACAACTCATAAGAAAGGTGATTGCAAAAATAATAATTGTACATGAATATTCATTTATGATGGTTGAACATACTTGGTTCAATATATTGTTAAAAATGTTAAATCTTAACTTTGAAAATGTTTCAAGGAACACCATAAAAAATGATTGTATGAAATTTATAAGTGTGAGAAAGAAAAACTTAAATCTAATCTTAAAAAAATTCACATGGTGTCATTAACTACATATTGTTGAACCTCTAATCAGACTAGAGGATATATGTGTTTATTTGTCCATTATATCGACGAAACATGAAAGTTAAAAAAGATTATTATCAATTTTATTGAGTTAGAGCCCTACATACGACACTTACATATGTGATGCTATTTGTGAGTGTTTGTTGGAGTGGAAGCTCCAGAACAAAATATTCACAACTACTTTATATAATGCAAATAATATTGATGTGGCAGCTAGTTCCTTAAAAGTAAAATTTCAATCACGAGAGAAGCTGCACTTTGTGGCTTTTTTTTATGAGTGATTATTATTGTAACTTTGAACTTTAGTACTATTTTTTTTATTTATGTGGTTATGTTATTTGTGTTGCTAACTTGTTATTATTTTCGTATTCAACAAGAGATAAATTTAAACTTTAAATTTTGAAGTTGGTATTCATAATAAAGTTAAGTAACCCTTTGAATTAATTCTTATTATGTCAATTATACTGATTTATTCAGATACTTCTTGATTATTCCCATTTGGCGGATATTTATGTTAGGGCAATGATGATTTCTAACATTTTCATTAAAATTCAACCATACTTATAAATGTTTGATGAAAAAATATTTATAATATTTGGAAGAGATTTAATATACTTTCGTCAGGTAAGTTGTGAGCTCAATTTCATTTTTCATTTACTTATAATAGTTATTATTTCTTTTGTGCCTCTTTTTATATTGTATTTGTCTAGTTTTGACTGCTTTGGCTCTTTTGAGTCTTTGGCTATTGACTGTTAGTTGTTGGTTATTGTTGGTTGTTGGCTAATCAAATAATATTTCTTAAAATGTTCCGATAAGAGACCATCATGCAAAGGGTACAACACAATTCATTTATGTTCATTTTGAGAATAAAATTGACAGGAGTGGAGAACCAAACCATTCATTTATGTTCATTGTATGGTGTTAACAGCCAAAACAAAAAGAAATAAAATTAAGAACCAGACCTTTTAATGCAAAAATGACTTTTGAACCCCCAATAATAAAGCAAATCAACATTGTAAATGCATGTTTACTTAAGCTCAAATCTAGAAAAGCAGCAATATCTCTTTAGAAAACCTGAGTAAGCAAAAAAGATCATTCGATAAAGAAACCTTACCAAAAACGGCAAGATTAAACTCAACTAGCGACATAAATTCTCATAAAAATCAAAGAGCAAGCTTCTCGATAGAGTTGGAAGAGAAAAGCTACAGAATTGATTATCCCTGCAAGAGCAACTGTGGAAGGAGCCTTGCAAAAAGAGGAAGTTGTACAAAGAGAATTAGGGGAAAGGCATACTTGCATTACCAATAGGCTACAGAATTTATTCAAAAAATGACTTTTGTACCCCCATGAAACTGGCGAGTTGAGCCAACAGCCAATAAACAAATGAGCCAACAGCCAATAAACAAATGAACCAACAGGTATTACCCAATATCCAATAGCTAACAGCCAATAGCCAAAGGTCCAAAAGGGTCAAAACAGTCAAAACTAGACAAATACAATAACAAAAGAAGCACAAAAGAAAAAATAACAATAATAAGTAAATGAAAAATGAAATTGAGCTCACAACTTACCTGACGAAAGTACATTAAAATCTCTTCCACTTACCATAAATATTTTTCATCAAACATTTATAAATATGATTGAATTTTAATGAAAATGTTGGAAATCATCATTGCTCAAACATAAATACCCCCCCAAAAAGGAATGAACAATAAGTATCTGATTAAATCAGCATATCTGACATAATAAGAATTAATCTAACAGGTTGTTTAACTTTATTATGAATATCAACTTTAAAATTTAAAATTTAAATGTATCCCTTGTTGAATACGAAAATAATAGCAAGTTATCAATATAAATAACATAACCATATAAATCAAAAAAAATAGTGTATAAAATTCAAAGTTACAATAATAACGTAAATTCTTAACTAACTATGAAAGGTTTTATAAAGAGTAGACTTGGCTATGTTGGCTTCATATGTCTGGTAGGCGAATATTAAGTTTTTTTTTCAAGTATCTCTTGCCGAAAAGAATTAATGAAAATAAATATTAATATTAAGTATTAATAATAAACAATAACTATAAAATGACATTTTTCTTGAGTAGATCGAATCCAACTTTATGCACAAATTAATGCATTAACGATTATAGTGGATAAATTGCTTCTGTAATTATCTGACACCCTGCCTCCAGCACTAAAAGCAGATTCTGAGGCAATTGTGGTTATAGGTATTGATAAAATATTTTGAGTCATAATTGAGAGTCGGGCATACTTTAATGTATTCATCTTCCATCAATCAAGCATATCAAAAATCTCACTCGTGCA